AACTAGTTTCAGACTAGTTAATAACTATCAGAGACTAGGTAAGAGTCAGCTAGTTTCAGACTAGTATAATATCTATCTGAGACTAGGTAAGAGTCAGCTAGTTTCAGACTAGTATAATATCTATCAGAGACTAGGTAAGAGTCAGCTAGTTTCAGACTAGTGTAATGATTATCAGAGACTAGGTAAGAGTCAGCTAGTTTCAGACTAGTATAATATCTATTAGAGACTAGGTAAGAGTCAGATAGTTTCTGACTAGTATAATAACTATCAGAGACTAGGTAAGAGTCAGATAGTTTCAGACTAGTATAATATCTATCAGAGACTAGGTAAGAGTCAGCTAGTTTCAGATTAGTATAATATCTATCAGAGACTAGGTAAGAGTCAGATAGTTTCAGACTAGTATAATATTTATCAGAGACTACGTAAGAGTCAGCTAGTTTCAGACTAGTATAATATCTATTAGAGACTAGGTAAGAGTCAGATAGTTTCAGACTAGTATAATATCTATCAGAGACTAGATAAGAGTCAGATAGTTTCAGACTAGTATAATGTCTATCAGAGACTAGGTAAGAGTCAGATAGTTTCAGACTAGTATAATTACTATCAGAGACTAGGTAAGAGTCAGTTAGTTTCAGACTAGTATAATATCTATCACAGACTAGGTAAGAGTCAGTCAGTTAGTTTTTAGACTAGTATAATAACTATCAGAGACTAGGTAAGAGTCAGCTAGTTTCAGACTAGTATAATATCTATCTGAGACTAGGTAAGAGTCAGCTAGTTTCAGACTAGTATAATATCTATCAGAGACTAGGTAAGAGTCAACTAGTTTCAGACTAGTATAATAATTATCAGAGACTAGGTAAGAGTCAGCTAGTTTCAGACTAGTATAATATCTATCAGAGACTAGGTAAGAGTCAGATAGTTTCAGACTAGTATAATATCTATCAGAGACTAGGTAAGAGTCAGATAGTTTCAGACTAGTATAATGTCTATCAGAGACCAGGTAAGAGTCAGCTGGTTTCAGACTAGTATAATAACTATCAGAGACTAGGTAGGAGTCAGCTAGTTTCAGACTAGTATAATAACTATCAGAGACTAGGTATGAGTCAGCTAGTTTCAGACTAGTATAATATCTATCAGAGACTAGGTAAGAGACAGTCAGTTTCAGACTAGTATAATATCTATCAGAGACTAGGTAAGAGTCAGCTAGTTTCAGACTAGTATAATATCTATCAGAGACTAGGTAAGAGACTGTCAGTTTCAGTCTAGTATAATATCTATCAGAGACTAGGTAAGAGTCAGTTAGTTTCAGACTAGTATAATATCTATCAGAGACTAGGTAAGAGTCAGCTAGTTTCAGACTAGTATAATATCTATCAGAGACTAGGTAAGAGTCAGTTAGTTTCAGACTAGTATAATATCTATCAGAGACTAGGTAAGAGTCAGCTAGTTTCAGACCAGTATAATGTCTATCAGAGACTAGGTAAGAGTCAGCTAGTTTCAGACTAGTATAATATCTATCTCAGACTAGGTAAGAGTCAACTAGTTTCAGACTAGTATTATAGCTATCAGAGACTAGGTATGAGTCAGCTAGTTTCAGACTAGTATAATATCTATCAGAGACTAGGTAAGAGTCAGCTAGTTTCAGACTAGTATAATAACTATCAGAGACTAGGTAAGAGTCAGTTAGTTTCAGACTAGTATACTATCTATCAGAGACTAGGTAAGAGTCAGTTAGTTTCAGACTAGTATAATATCTATCAGAGACTAGGTAAGAGTCAGCTAGTTTCAGACTAGTATAATATCTATCAGAGACTAGGTAAGAGACAGTTAGTTTCAGACTAGTATAATATCTATCAGAGACTAGGTAAGAGTCAGCTAGTTTCAGACTAGTATAATATCTATCAGAGACTAGGTAAGAGTCAGCTAGTTTCAGACTAGTATAATATCTATCAGAGACTAGGTAAGAGTCAGCTAGTTTCAGACTAGTATAATATCTATCAGAGACTAGGTAAGAGTCAGCTAGTTTCAGACTAGTATAATATCTATCAGAGACTAGGTAAGAGTCAGATAGTTTCAGACTAGTATAATAACTATCAGAGACTAGGTAAGAGTCAGATAGTTTCAGACTAGTATAATATCTATCAGAGACTAGGTAAGAGTCAGCTAGTTTCAGACTAGTATAATATCTATCAGAGACTAGGTAAGAGTCAGATAGTTTCAGACTAGTATAATATTTATCAGAGACTACGTAAGAGTCAGCTAGTTTCAGACTAGTATAATATCTATTAGAGACTAGGTAAGAGTCAGATAGTTTCAGACTAGTATAATATCTATCAGAGACTAGATAAGAGTCAGATAGTTTCAGACTAGTATAATGTCTATCAGAGACTAGGTAAGAGTCAGATAGTTTCAGACTAGTATAATTACTATCAGAGACAAGGTAAGAGTCAGTTAGTTTCAGACTAGTATAATATCTATCACAGACTAGGTAAGAGTCAGTCAGTTAGTTTTTAGACTAGTATAATAACTATCAGAGACTAGGTAAGAGTCAGCTAGTTTCAGACTAGTATAATATCTATCTGAGACTAGGTAAGAGTCAACTAGTTTCAGACTAGTATAATATCTATCTGAGACTAGGTAAGAGTCAACTAGTTTCAGACTAGTATAATAATTATCAGAGACTAGGTAAGAGTCAGCTAGTTTCAGACTAGTATAATATCTATCAGAGACTAGGTAAGAGTCAGATAGTTTCAGACTAGTATAATATCTATCAGAGACTAGGTAAGAGTCAGATAGTTTCAGACTAGTATAATGTCTATCAGAGACCAGGTAAGAGTCAGCTGGTTTCAGACTAGTATAATAACTATCAGAGACTAGGTAGGAGTCAGCTAGTTTCAGACTAGTATAATAACTATCAGAGACTAGGTATGAGTCAGCTAGTTTCAGACTAGTATAATATCTATCAGAGACTAGGTAAGAGACAGTCAGTTTCAGACTAGTATAATATCTATCAGAGACTAGGTAAGAGTCAGCTAGTTTCAGACTAGTATAATATCTATCAGAGACTAGGTAAGAGACTGTCAGTTTCAGTCTAGTATAATATCTATCAGAGACTAGGTAAGAGACAGTTAGTTTCAGACTAGTATGATATCTATCAGAGACAAGGTAAGAGTCAGCTAGTTTCAGACTAGTATGATATCTATCAGAGACTAGGTAAGAGTCAGTTAGTTTCAGACTAGTATAATATCTATCAGAGACTAGGTAAGAGTCAGCTAGTTTCAGACCAGTATAATGTCTATCAGAGACTAGGTAAGAGTCAGCTAGTTTCAGACTAGTATAATATCTATCTCAGACTAGGTAAGAGTCAACTAGTTTCAGACTAGTATTATAGCTATCAGAGACTAGGTATGAGTCAGCTAGTTTCAGACTAGTATAATATCTATCAGAGACTAGGTAAGAGTCAGCTAGTTTCAGACTAGTATAATAACTATCAGAGACTAGGTAAGAGTCAGTTAGTTTCAGACTAGTATACTATCTATCAGAGACTAGGTAAGAGTCAGTTAGTTTCAGACTAGTATAATATCTATCAGAGACAAGGTAAGAGTCAGCTAGTTTCAGACTAGTATAATATCTATCAGAGACTAGGTAAGAGACAGTTAGTTTCAGACTAGTATAATATCTATCAGAGACTAGGTAATAGTCAGCTAGTTTCAGACTAGTATAATAACTATCAGAGACTAGGTAAGAGTCAGTTAGTTTCAGACTAGTATACTATCTATCAGAGACTAGGTAAGAGTCAGTTAGTTTCAGACTAGTATAATATCTATCAGAGACAAGGTAAGAGTCAGCTAGTTTCAGACTAGTATAATATCTATCAGGGACTAGGTAAGAGACAGTAAGTTTCAGACTAGTATAATATCTATCTGAGACTAGGTAAGAGACAGTAAGTTAAGACTAGTATAATATCTATCAGAGACTAGGTAAAAGTCAGCTAGTTTCAGACTAGTATAATAACTATCAGAGACTAGGTAAGAGTCAGCTAGTTTCAGACTAGTATAATATCTAACAGAGACTAGGTAAGAGTTAGTTAGTTTCAGACTAGTATAATATCTATCAGAGACTATGTAAGAGTCAGCTAGTTTCAGAGCACTTTATTATCGTCATAGTTTCGGCATGCAAGAAAGTCATCAAAAGTCAAAAGAAATCAATACGAATAATAAAACTTTTTAACATTCGTCATGAGCAGCTGCTAAGTTTCAGTTAGTTACAGGTGCCGTCGACATACTGGCCCATACACTCCCAGCTGTTATTTCTGAACCAGTGAAACCTGCAACCCCAAGGGACCACCAACAATAACCTCACCACCCAAGAGAGAACCCTTTACTACGTCACCAAATGTAATACAGGTGACTGAAATAATTAAGGTTAAGACTAAGTAAGTCGATCTTGTTAAAATTAGTCAAAATTTTCGATCGTTTTTATTAGCTTTTATTTTTAATAACCACTATAATTAAGGTCTAACGGCGGTCCTCTTGAACATTCATGCTAATGAGCTATTAATCTAACCCGATGACCTCTGCTTTACCCAATCAAATTAGGATTTCTAAAGATTGGATCTTATTTGTTATTTTTATTTGCCATTTCAAGGTTTATATTTGAGTAGAAATTTATCGTTTTTTCGTCTAACCTAATGCCGGAAGATGTTTTTCTCCAGGATATTTTGGCCATGGAAAACCAGGAAGAGAGCCCAATGATTTTTGTATATCTGAACCAAAATAAGTATTAGGAATGTGCGCGACTATCATTTTTATCCTATAACTTTAAAACCTTTTCCTTTGTTTTCTTCTAATCTCCTGTTTTAAATTCTAACTTCGCAATAATCGAGAAATGAAGGTGGGATAAAATTTATCAAATCAATCAAAACAAACAACCTCGTTATTAAAGTGAACCCTTTATACGACCTCGTTATTAAAGTGAACAATTTATACGACCTCATTATGAAAGTGAACACTTCATACAACCTCGTTATTAAAGTGAACCTTTTATACGACCTCGTTATTAAAGTGAACCCTTTATACGACCTCGTTAATAAAGTGAACCCTTTATACGACCTCGTTATTAAAGTGAACCCTTTAAACGACCTCGTTATTAAAGTGAACCCTTTATACGATCTCGTTATTATAGTGAACCCTTTATACGACCTCGTTATTAAAGTGAACCCTTTATACGACCTCGTTATTAAAGTGAACCCTTTATACGACCTCGTTATTAAAGTGAACCCTTTATACGACCTCGTTATTAAAGTGAACCCTTTAAACGATGTAGGTAAAAAAATTTATATTTCAAAATAGATGAACATCTTCAAGCAAAAAAGAATTTTATTAGATTAATATTACAAGCTCAATTTCAACTACATACAAGACTTTAGAAGGAAAATACGACACCTAGTGCGTCTACAATGAGAAATAGAAAACAGTAGAAACAAAGGTAAAATCAGAAATAATAAAATATGCCAATTTGAGTTAGAGTTTGAAAACTTATTAAACTGTCACTACTGGTATAATATAGAGAGTGTAAGGTAAGGTGTTTAAGGGTTTGGTCATATCTCAATATTCCTATAGCTCTAACAAGTTTTCTCTGCTAGTAACCATCCAGGACTTCGACGAAATTTATCGGCGGGTATCTTACTGTATTCAATGTCATACAAATAACAAAGCCGCCGTTTATAATACTCCAGCGTTTTACATTCCTTCATCGTCGCACAATTCTTTTGACACTCCTCAAAGCTTATATTTGTTGCCACAAAGATAAATGGTTTTTGGTACAGAACACATACGACGTCAGTATCATGTATGAGTGTCCATGTTGTGGTACAGATGTTATTATTCTCGCATAATGTTGTACATTCACCTTCGGATTCAGCAGAAGCTAAATCCAAAGGTGGATATCTCAACATTTTACCTGCTTCATAATTAGAACAATCTGAAATAAATACCATATTCACATATAGTTTGTTATAGTCAAAGATTTCACTGTAGATAGTGGCTTTTGTAGTCAAGGTATAAGACAATGATCACAATACCCTGACCATTGTGAGGATGTTGTAATCCGCTTTTATGAACGTTGAAATTTTTTTTGCTCAAATTTGTGAAAAGTACACACAAAAATCTAGAGAAATGTGTCCCTTAACGAAATTTTCAAATAAAAAGATCGCAGAATCCTGGCGTTGAACGTGTTCAAAATAAACGCCGTGACTTGGCGAATGACCACACGATGTCTAGTGTGTCTTAAGCGCTAAAACCACGCTCTGAATCAATTTTCCATCTCAGCATTAGCACCATTAGAAGCTTTCCGATGTGACGGGACCATTAACGAGAATAGTTCAAAAGAAATTAGATCATGCACAATAACTGCCCTCCCCAAAGATGCGTCTCAATGTCATCGATTAATAATTTTACCTTCTATTCTTCTGTCAACAGCCTTTCTGACGCGTGAATGAGGTTTAGGGCTGGCAACTTGTAAAGAAACAACACACAGTAAAACAATTACCAACATCAAATTTGATATGACAGTCTTCTTGATAGAGTTGTGAGTAGAGAAGGTAAGTTTGTATGGGTTTATATAGAAGAGAAGAGAAACGTGGCAAGCAAGAATTAAAGTAGTCTTAAAACTGCATTAGTCCGAAACATCTGCCTCCATTTCTAGTGGATATTTTGACAGTTGTTAGCTGGAATAAAGTCAGAAGAAAAAGACCCTGTCAAATGGGGATTTTCCACACCTCCAAAGATACGTTTTTCTGTAACATAATATTGAATTATCTTTAAGATGATTGTAAATTAGTGTTGGGCATCACCGTAATTTTTGTTTTATTAGTAACACGCAGTTTTAAATGGCCGATGCTAGATCAATTTTGCAAAAAAAAACCTTTGATGGAACCGGATACATGAAATGTAGGTAGAAAGTTATGGTATGAATGAACTACAAAAATATTCATCTTTCCAAATATACCTGGGTTATCTAATTAGGTTTAAAACCATCGCACCTGCGGTGACGCGGAATGTACCTATTTAACAGGGCTTATTATTTCTGTCTCTACACCAGCTGACATCTGTGCAAATAGCTTTCAGAACTGGAATAGAGAAAGGTGATACACCAGCTGACATCTGTGCAAATAGCTTTCGGAACTGGAATAGAGAAAGGTGATACACCAGCTGACATCTGTCCAAATAGCTTTCAGAACTGGAATAGAGACAGGTGATACACCAGCTGACATCTGTCCAAATAGCCATCAGAGCTGGAATAGAGACAGGTGATACACCAGCTGACATCTGTCCAGATAGCCATCAGAGGCTGGAATAGAATATGAAGTCTATACTGGCAAGTTAAATTTGGAAGGGAAAGCGCACTTCAGTGTTGGTATAAAATTTATTTTTTTAGTCGGAAGCTGAAAAGATACTGAACTAACTTCACTTAGTACTGATGGTACACAAGTTCAGTAGCGTGATGACCATCATGTGCGTTGACAACTGCCACACAACGACTCTGAATGGACTTTGTGAAGCTTGTAAACAGTTCATTAAGGAAACGCTCTTGTCGATGCAAAATAGTGCCAAAATTTTGTAAATTCTGTGGTTGGTTCTGGCGAGTACGCAGTGTGCTCTCTCTGTTAGTTTGAGCAAAAAAGAATACAAACTGCGTAGACAATTGAAATTGACACTGTTAGCTTTTCATACGCCCGCATGGAAATGTGGACGTATATTGCCAATGCCCCAGTGCGTCGATCTGTGAATCGGGTATCATGATTTCCTCATATATGCCGGACATGATCGACTCTCCTGTCAAAGTTCGAATGTGACGATCTTTCAATGAACGGTTTTTGAGTTATTGCCCTTGAAAACGCGTCAAAATATGGCAGTGAGCTCATTAGAGGCTTGTGTTCATCTGATTAAAATGAAATATGGTGTGATCATTTATATTGATAATATCTTGGTCAAGTTTAAATCATGTGATTTTTATGAATTGTTTTATTAGATTGATGAGATCCTGGTCATGTTGGGATTTTCAACAATTTCACTATATTCTTTTATGGACGTACTTATCTTGGGAGAGAG